TGAATATATAAATTCAAAGCCCGTGCTTGAAGTCAATGGTCTCCAAAGTCAAACAAGGGTATTCAAGGCCATACAGTATATGCAGCAATCCAATAGGTAGTGGGAGAAAACATTAAAGCTTCTATTGGAATAACTTAAAAAACAACAACAACAACAAAAACCCCACGTTTTTAAGCTTTATTAACCGTTAACACTGGCAGTCTCACTGATCCCTATGTCAAGCAGGTCACCCTTACATTCTGGTTATAAGGCAGAGGAGAAGGGACGCAGCAGGACCTTCAGCATGTTATAGTTTACACCAGGTTATAGATTCTTCAAATTTCAGCATCAGTCTTAACTAATCTACCCCTCCCTAAAATGACCAAGTAGCTTAAGCTGTTTTCTACAAAGAATTCACGAATTAGGGTAGTAATAACAAAAACACGAACAAGAAAATGGCAGAGCTTACGCTTCTATTCACACATAACTGGAGCTTTCCATGAGTCACATGAAGTACAAACCAAGATGATCTAATCCAACCTGACAAGTCACACACCCCCCAAATTTCAAAATTATTGAAAAGGTTAATTTGAAGCAAATTTATATTCACTAAAGATAGCTCAAATCTTGGCATGATTTTATAGTGAGCTTATTAGTTAATGAACATAATTTTGAAATATATTTTCAAATCTTGAAATCATGACCCATGATGGTATGAATTTGGCAACTGGCTTCTGTCTCTTCAGTGAAATTAAAGGAGAGTTAGGAAAAGGAAAAGTGAAGACACACAGAGAAGCAGATGGTCCCTAAGAGTAGGGAATTAGACTGAGTCCCTGTTTCTGCAGTCTTCTCTCAGACTAGTCTGTCCTCACAGTACTGACAAGACAGGGGTCAACTAGCCAAAGCAGCCCGATACTCTCATGTTGGCTGTGACACTGGAAAATCTTCTATCTGGTTTCTGGCTCTAGTTTTTACATTTGCACAATGAATGCAGCAGATCATTATATGTATTAAGTTTTACCAGGCTCCCATGTTGTGTGGTCTAAGGCAGTGGTGGCGAACCTATAGCACTTGGGCTGCAGTGGGCCTGCAGAGCCCTCTCTGTCACAACTCCAGCAGACAAGCATTGAATATTCAAATTTAACTGTAGTGTTGGCACTTTTCGGTAAATAAGTGGGTTTTGGGTTACAGTTTGGGCACTCGGTCTCTAAAGGGTTCGCCATCGCTGGTGTAAGTCACTATGGACTCACATACTGGTCCAGATGTCACTGTATGAACATCACCCCCTATGGGTGTGGAAGCGTCCCAGCTCCACAGCTGTCTGTAGTGCTAAGGTGACAGAATTCACTAATGATGCCAGCAAAGTCACAAGCACTTTCATTAAACATTCATTCTTGGAAATGTAAAGGCCACCTCCTGTGCACCAAGTATAGTACTAGGTAATTAAGGATGCAAGACTAATAAGACACAATTTCTGCCACTATTTATTTATCAGATATTTACTGTGTGCCGGGGACTGCTCCAGACATGAGTATAACACTGAGCACAACACGAAAGACTCTTGGTTTTCTAGGAGCTTCCATTCTCTTCCCCATTCTCAGAACACAGTCCACTACAGTTTAGTCCTCAGGCCTCAGACTGAAGAATGCATAGACCCCGGAGAGCAATCAAACACAACTGTACCCCTGAACAGCAGTGAGGAAAGCACTGCATCATCACGAGCCCCGAGACCTGGACTCTGCGGCCCTCCCACCATAGCTCAGTGTTATGGGGAAACTAGAAGGGTTAGACTAGATCAAGGCTTTTCAAATCTCCCCAGTGTCACGGCCCTTCTTGAAAATGTTATTAAAACTAAGGTCTCTCAGAGAAATGCGCAAAGCTGCACATACCACCTGGATACAATCAGACATCCACAGACATCCTGAAGCTTATCCTACATGTCAGTTGAGGAATCTCTGAACTAGGCAAATCACTGAAAATCCTTCCAGCTCCAAGTATTCTATGATTCTGTTCCATTTTATCTCCCCTGGACCACCTTGGATTCCAGTCCTCAAGATGCTAAAATAACATTTTTTGGTTATCATCTTAATACACAGGGGGAAAGGAGAGGGAGAGGGAGGGAAAGAGAGAGAGAAAGATCAACGTGGGAGGCAAGATATTATGAAAGTTATGCAAGGGACATATGGCTATATGTGTGATTTTCACAACATATCCCCCAAATTCTCTGCTACTTCACCATCAGGAAGTGTGTGTGGGGAGTCTATGTTCCTCCCTCTTGACTCTAAGTTCTTTGTGTCACTAATAAAATATTGCTCATGTGGTCCTACGCCAGTTTGCAACCCTGGGCCTTAGAAACTAGCAGATTCCTCTTTTTGTCTCTTGAGATGGTTTTTTTTAGAACCCAGCCACCATGCTGTGCTGTACCAAAGCAGACCATGTGTAATTGTCCCTGCTGAAAGTCAGCATCAACTGCCAGACCCGTGGGTGCAGACACAATATGATACCAGCCTCAGTTACTGAGGGACCCCCTTCTCAGGAGTCTTTCCAGCTGAGGCTCTGGTGGGATGGACACAAACCAACTTAGCAGCAGACTATCCAAATTCCTCAGGTGAAGATACCACTATGTTTTAAAGTGGCTTGTTACATCACAATAGAAGCTGCAACATCTTTAAACAATAAGGGATCATGGTCTTTCTTGCACAGAAATAGGAATCAACTTTTTTTAAAAAAGTAAGTAGGTACTGTTGGAAATTAATTCAAGAGAAAATCAAGATTTAGAAGACTATACTTAAACTGATGAAGGTCACTATCTTGGCCTGCTTATCAAATAAAACAGAGGAGGGTGAGGTATCAAGATTTGACAGATAATGGTTATTTCTCAGGACATTAACAGAAGTAGGGTTAAATTTCCAAGTTCACAAGTCTACTCATGATACCAGTGCTAGGCCCCGTTCTAGATGTGAGGCACATAGCACTCAACATATCAGATAAAAATCACTGCCCTCAACAATACTTACAATCAGTGGAGGGAAAAAGACCATTCACAGGACTCATTAGTTTGTTAAATGATATTAAAGGTTGAAGAGAAATATAAAGCGAGATGGGAGGCCAGGGAAGTATTTCTGGTAGCAGTGATGACGGGAAGGGCTTGCAATTTTAAAGAGGGGTCCTAGAAAGTCACCCTTAGATGACATTTGTATCAAGACTCGAAAGAAGTGGGAGAATAAACCAAATGGATATACCAGGAAAGAGCATTCCAGGCAGCGCAAACAGTACATACAAAGGCCCTGAGGCTAGTGGGGCTGGCGTTCACTGAACAAGAAAGTAATAAAAATTGATGTTAGAAAGGAAACTGAGAATAAGATTGTATATACAAAAATCTGGCCAAAAAAAAAAAAATCAGAAATGAACTTGGACCCAAGAGAACCAAATTCAACAAGAGTAGAATGGTGGCCCACATTCAGTGAATGATGGGAAGTCCTGGCTCAGCCACTTAGCTGCTTTTTGACTTGTAGCAAGTGAGTATGATTTTCTGAGCCTCAGATCTCATCTCTAAAATTACAATAAATCATCTTTTCTCACCTCACAAGATCATAGCATAAATCAAGAACGAAGAAGTGTATTGTAAACTGGAAAGCCCAATATATAGGCAGGGTCTTCACATTATAACTGAAAAACCTAACAACAGCAATCATTATTAACAGCAGAATCAATGTACTTTGCCCTACTAATTTCAACCTCCAAATCAATCTCTCCCTTGATATGTCACAGAACTGGGGCAGGGGTCATGTTCCCTTCGGCATGAGAGTGAACTGCAAGTGCTCGAAGGCTTTTATAAATGAGTGGCAGTAATTAAGACATGGTAGTTACTCCTACCAACTTTTCTTTGAGGGTGAGGAAAAAGCATGAGACTTAGTTTCCATGTGACAATTCTATGTCCTTTTGCAAAATCCAAGCAGCCTACAAACCATTTTCTGTTTTCAAAACGGAAGAACCCCCAGTAGGAACATGTTGACACTTCCCACACATGCTTTCTTCATTTAAATCTACACCAGACTGTTGAAAGAAGGGAAAGGGGAAGTATGAGATACACTCGCGGGATTGGACAGAATATTTTTAAGAGTCCACCTCACCCCATCACCTCAAATTACTTGAAAATCTACCACCCGAACCACTCTAATTGGAGACAGCATTAGTTTTCTCACCCATAAATGAAACTATCTTCCTAAGGATATTTCAATTCTGTAATAAAATAAAGCATATAAAAGCATCTGACATATGATCAGGACTCACTAAAATTGGCTGAATCTGGAAATTCTTCATTTATTCAACAAATACTACGGGAGCACCTACAAAACGTGCCAGCCAGTATCCATCTGCAGGGACAGGGTCAGAAGCAGAACTGATAAGATTCCAGTTCTCTTGCAGCTAGCATCTACGTCCTGTAACTCTCTTTACCGGTCAGTCCCCTCTGTTCTCTGGAACCACCTCTGGCTTTGGTAACAGAACCCCCTTCACAGAACAGAATTGTTTGGGATCGTGCAGATAGTCATCACACACCTCCCAGCCTCCAGCCTAAACAAACTGCCTCAATTCTTTCAAGTAAGCAAAGATGTGGGAACAAGAGCTACACCAGGGCTGCGTGGGAAGAAGGCGGGTGCCAAGGCGCCTGGGCTGAAAAATCAAGAGACCCGCTCAGGCTGCAGGCCGAGGTCAGTCGGGCTGGTAGCACTCAGGTGTGTCACCTGACACCTCCCCTCCCCAGGCGCCCCAGCGGTCCCGGCGGGGCGCGGGGTACAGACCGCGGGCGCCGTGGCCCAGGGATGGAAGGCGGGGGCCCTCGCCGTGCGAGGAGCCTTTTCTTCCCGAAAGCCTCAGAGAACCCCGGGATCATTCTCGGTGTTTCCAGATCCCACCTTCCCTCCAGGCCTCGCCGCCCTCGGAAGCCCCGCACACATCTGCTTCCCGTCTGCGGCCTCCCCAGGGCCACAGCCCGGAGAATCTCGGCCGGCCGCACTCACCTGCGAGCCTAGCCCCGGGCCCTCCATCCCCCCGGGCACCCGCGGCTGCGGCTGCGGCGCCCGCTCGTTGGAAAGTGGCGGCCGCAGCACGCTCGCCACCAGCCGGCAGGCAGAGACTCCACTTCCTGCTCGCGCCCCCGCCTCCGGTACCGCGGTCCCCGCTCGAGCCCTGTGCAGTCAATCGGCCTCACAGAGCCAATCCCGCCCCTCGCTCGGCTGGGGGCGGGACTTTCTAATGAAGGTATGGCCAATAGAGAACCGCAAGCCCCAGGCCCCGCCCCCAGCAATCAGCTCTCCAATCCTGGAAGGTGACCCTCCTCCAGGGCTCCACCTACTCAAGGTGTCCCTTCAGGTACAAGATGCGGCTGTTAACTCGAACGCCTCTCACTATCCATGGAGTGCGAACCCAGACCGGGCTACTTAATAGCTGGTCGCCTTTGTGAAAGTCTTACTATACCTTGGTCTCCTCATCTGTGAAATGGGGCAAATAGGGGCACATACTTCATCCAGTTGTCTGGAGTAGTAAAGGAGAAAAAGCATGTAAAGATGTTTCCTCACCCAGTGCTTAGCATATGTAAAGGAATCATCTGATACAAACGCAGCGGATGTTAGCCTTTAAAAATACTTACCACTCTCCATTTGTGTGATGTTGGGGGAGTCATTTCTACCACCTGGGGCTGTTTCTTCACAGAAAACAGCATGTACAGTATGTGAGTCCCACAGCACAGGCTACGGGGGGAATTGGACAGGAGTCCCCGTCCTCTTTGGGGGACTGCACTGGAGGGGCTGACCTTTAAGCTCAGTCCACTCTGAAGGCCTAGGAAGCAAGAAAAAGCCTTGCTTCTTCTGCCCCCGTGGGACCGGGGCGCTCTAACACCTCAGTACCCAAAAACACTGAAGCTTTTCTAGGCCCGCACTTAACACTATTCTTTGTAATTATTCCCTAATGTGTCTGTTGCCAAGCCAAACCAGATTAAGATCTTTAGAAGCTAATTTGAAAAAGATCTGAAAATATTATGACTCCCTTATCCTATAAAAATAATGTTAAACCAGAAAGAAAAAGTGTCTAGAAATACAACAAAGTGCTGGGTTTCCCCCATGAAAAATGCTACTAAGATACAAGGAAATTATAAATGTATTATTATTTTAACGCTCTGCCTGTCAGGCACACCAGCCCTAGGTTACCCCCAAAGCCCACACCCACTGAGGATAGGAGCCATGCCATACCCATTTCTGAATTCCCTGTGCCTGGTGCAGCTCTAAGACATGGAAAATACCACAATTGTACTGAGTGGATGGGTGGATGTCTCATCATCTTTTGTAACACAAGGAAGGACAAATTGAGTGACAAATAGAAGTGTAAGCAACTTCCTTTGAGAGCTAGAAGAAAAAGCAATTAATCCAGACAGGGCTTGAAGGATTGGGCAAGGCTTCCAAGAGGAGAGAAGCTTTGGGTGTGGTCATTTCCTTTACCTAATCAGAGCTCTGCTTACTGGTCACTTACTATGTGTTAGCACCTGTGCCAGTGTTTTGCATACACTATGTCTAATCTATGAGATGGGTTTTATTTCCCCCATCCCCTGGAGAAAGAAACAAGTTCAAACAGATTCCATAAACCCAAAGTTGCTCAGCTAGTAAGTGCTGGAGAGAGGATTCAAACCCAGTTCTCTTACTACAATGTACTTTGGCTGCAGCAATTTGCTTCCTTGATTTACAAGGATTTAGTTAGATGGTGTTACTGAACTTGAAGGAGGCTTGATATATGCTGTTTCAATGCTTTTGCACTGATATCCTAATACGTAGGAAGATTCTGGAGTAAATAAACCCTGACACCTCAACCCTTAGCCATGCTCCAATTCTCCCCTACTCATTGTTTTATTCCTCCAGTGAGCTGAAATTAGGGTAAGCATATCCACGTCTAATGGCTGTGTGGAAGCAAAGCTTCTCAGTGCTGCCCATAGAGCAGCAAGATTGGAGCAGCAAGCTCCTAACGCTGACTGCCTGGAGCTGGAATCCCTGTTCTAGCACTTAGCAGCTCTGTGCTCTTGGGAGAGTTGCTAAATCTCCTTGAGCTTTGGTTTCCTCATCTGTAAAACTGGGACAGTAACAGTGCTTACTTCACATAGCTGTTGAGATAATTAAGTGAGTGAATGTGTGTAAAGTCCTTAGAGGACAGTCTGGTACATTCTAGCACTATATAGCTATGATCGTTATCACTGTCGTCCTCCTTAGGAATGGGTATCAGGGAGAGTGCTCAAGACTGGATGGGGGCCATTATGAAAAGGGCCAAGGATAGACATTTAGCAGACCTGGCTTCTAGTCCAGCTTTGCCATCAGTTTCTGTGTGTATCGTTTCCTAGTGGCACAGACTCGGTGGCCCAACAATAGAAAGTTATTGTCTCACAGTTCTGAAGGCCAGAAGTCTGAGATCAAGGTGCTTGCAGGGCTGGTTTCTTCTGAGACCTCTCTCCTCGGTTTGGGGATGGCTGTCTCCTCCCTGTATTTTCACACAGTCTCCTTCTTTGCATGTGTCTTCTTATAAGGACAACAGTTAAATTGGACAAGAGCCCACCCTGGCCTAATTAAATATATTTTTAAAGACCCTTACTTGAAATACACTCATAGTCTGAAGTACTGGGGGTTAGGATTTAAACATGTTAATTTCAGTCTAGTTGGAAATTTGGCCCATAATGCTGACCCTGAGCAAACCATTTCTCCTCTCTGTGAGTTTCCTCATTTTCAAAATAGAGGTGAAAGTGAAAATGGAAAGCACTAACTTCTAGGGTCCCACTCAGCTTTGATCATGTGATTTTCTTAGCTAAGAATAAGCTCTACTTTTCCAGTACCCTCAGTATACCATTTTTAAATTTCCTTTGGGTGATATCGTCATCATTCTATAAGTATATGTGAAGTCCCTGCTGGCTATCAAGAATTGTTCAACTTTGATGATTCAATACTGAACATTACAGAGGGGCTGGTTCTCTGGCTTCTTGGGGCTTAAGGTCTAGAAGTGACAGACTTTAATCAAACAGGCTCATGAGCACTTAGCTCTCGCAGTCAGCTTTGTAGTTATTGGGTCAATCCTCATTCTTCTCCTTGGCCATTCATCTTTTTGCACCCCCAGAACTGGTACACAACCATCGTTTGTCTCCATGGTGCTATGTACAACATCTGGCATGTGGTGAAATGTAAAATGTCCACACAAATGAACAAATAAATGATTGCAACTGAAAGATGGTCTATATAATCAAAGGTAGCTCTGCTCCATAAATCACTCTACTGATTCCACAGTGTTTAACGGTTCTTGGATTTAAAACTATCATGTCAGTGTTGGCTGATACTCACTGTCACAGTATGAGTGACAACTGATTTTATTCTGACTGAATTTTTTACTCTTCCCTCATTTCTTCACAGGCCCTGGAAAGGAGAGGGCATTTTTGGAACCATGTGCTTGTGATTGGAATTGTTTCAATGCTGGTACCAAAACGATTCTTTGGAATGTCAAAAAAAAAAAAAAAATCCACACACCTGTCTGTAGAAAACTCACAGATGCCAGTTAAGAAATGCCAGTCCTCTCCAGTACCACGCAGGAGGGCCGGGTGGCCATGAGCACTTGCAACACATGTTTGTTGGGCTCTAACCTGTGTCAGCTCCGGGCTAAAACAGGGGTAAAGTAGCGCGTGGACAGCCCGGCCTCTGCTGCCTTGAAGTTCAGTTTGAGGGAAGCAATTCTGATGGAGATAGATTAGAAGATAAAAACAAGTAGGTGATGATAATCACTTGTCTTAGTTACTTTTTCCTTGCTGGGTGGGACTCAATACCCATCACCTACAACCTCAAAGAGGAGAGAGAGGTTTTTGGGTCATGGTTACAGTTCACAAGTCAGCCAGCTCCCGGGCAGAAATGGCCTGGCAGAGGGGCAGTGTGGAGCACAGCTGCTGCCATCATGGTGGCCAGGAAGCAGAGAGCCAAGGGAGTAGCGGGCAGGGAGACGTACCCTTCCAGGTCACCCCACAGTGGCCCGCCTTTCCTGGCCAAGCCCCACCTCCAGCAGCCCACTCAGCTGCTGGACTCACCAGTGGAGTGATGATTACCCTGATGAGCACTGTGTCCCGGATCCGATCACCTCCCACAACCTCTGCTCATGAGTGATGAGGCTTTGGTGGGACTTTCTGGATCAAAACCGTAACAGTGCTAAAAGGAAAAGCAGCGAGAGGAATCACGTTAGCCAGGAGATAATGTGGGGAGGAGAGTTCTCTTCAGAAAGTCGTAACACTAGCACAAAAGGGCTTTCCTAATTTCTCCTATTCATGAATGGTTAAACCAGACTTGGGAAGAGACAATGACCTGCCCAAATCACCCTAAGGAGGTAGTGATGGAGGCAGGATTACAGCAGCTCTTCTGAGCCCTCAATAGCTACCTGGCCAGCTTTGGGGCAGCCTCAGCTCCTAACTACTGTAAGTAAACTCATGGATTCTCAGGGCTGAGCTATCGGGGGGACAAGATAGAAGTCTTGCTCTGTCCCTTATCTTGTGCTTGAACAAGTTTCACTCCTGAAAATTTAAAAATCTTCGTTTTATATATAAATCACCAATATGTAATCATGGGATATGAGATCTCCTAAGACAAACCATTAATATGGACTAGTGTATATTTTATATTTGACTGGCCAGATTAACAGATTCATGTGTTTGTGTGTGTGTGTGTGTGTGTGTGTGTGTGTGTGTGTGAGAGAGAGAGAGAGAGAGAGAGAGAGAGAGAGAGGAGACAGAAAGACAGAGGAGACAGGAAGTATTTCTAGTTTTTAATTTTTACTTGTTATTGTTTTGAATCTCAGTCACCTGCTTGTATTTAAACACCTACTCTTATAGGAAAATTTTCTGGATGTGTCAAAATCGTGACAGTAACACTCAATTAGGCAACAGATCTGCCTGGACTCTGAAGTAGATGTGGCAAGACTCCCCTTTCAGCTTTCTAAACCCTCTAGCATAGCTGCATATTTATGGGTTACGTACCATCACTTCCCCGCTCTGTGTTCCTAGAAAACTCTTAAATGTCCTTTCATTGGAAGACCTTCCTGGACTCCAATTAAGAGCCCCTATAGCACTCTCTGATGCTGCTGTCACAGTCCACATGGAACATTCTTGC